GACTTCTGCTAACATATAAGGAAGCAAAACTAGGCTTCTAGTACATTCACTGTGAAGAAATGGACACCAGGCTAACTGCTAGTCAAAAGTAGATGTCTCTTATATTGAAAATCCCCGTTCACTTACAGATTTCCTAATCTTGCTGCAGTGCATTCCCATTAGCATTCAGATTTTTTGAATCTTTGATGCTTCCTGTGGATTTGTAGTGAGTGCTTGGAATATTATTGTCCCCTGAAAACTCACTTTAAATAGCACTGCGATTTGCGACTTCTATTTGCTCAATTCTGCTTAGGCAGACCTTCCCCATAATCACTCAATATCTCTACTTAAACCAAAACTCAATAATTTGAGTAAGTCACTCTCAAATTACCGTTCCATGACAATGAATGAGCACATGCATTTGCCTGAAACTATTTTCTGTGATTATCTTCTAAGAAGTACATGACTGTCTAGACAATTATCCAGATTTATGCATTCAAGGCTTTGCGTAAATGTACCGGCAAACCATAAAAGCAGAATTGGGAAAATTAGACTGACATGTCATAAAATACCCTTATAAATGAAAGAAGGTCAATGATTTTATGTCGAAAATAACTGACTAACCAATGACGACATTTGAAATGTCCTTTTAACACGCTGGACTAAAAGAATTGGATAAAAACACGAATAATTCAGTAACACTCCTGTCGCGCTCCCGAGGTTTTTGTCTTGAGTACTGCTCGTCAGTAAGCGGTTCTTTAATAAATCAAAATTATAACAGTGCCCAAATCAAGACTAATATTTCGAAAGTTGCATTATATTATATTTGCGGTGTCGACCAATAGTAAAATTGGACAAATCAATATTCAAAGCAATCAGGTTAAAGTAAGGTTAAAAAAATTAGCATCCTCTTTCTTTCAAAGTCTTCTTTCGAGTCCACTTCATAATTTTGTACTAATAAGCGGTTTAAATATCAATATTCTTTCTGGCGACCAAAAATAATTTGATTTCCTTTTTGAAGCATGCTTGGCGCGCCCTCTTTCTATAGGGATCTTAATCCACTGGTTTATTGCTCTTTTTTCATAATGTTTAAGATTCAGCTTGGAGTGTACTTTGTTACACACTGTCATTGGATTTAAAGCTATCAAACGTATAAATTCCTTTAAATGTCCATCTGATTCGATTTTTAAGGAAGATGGTTATTTTCTTAGGTAACTTTGTAAACTAGTAACAGTCTCTTATGCGTCTATTTCCTGTCATCTCTAAAAATTCATTTTATTTAATTGTAATTCACATGATTAGACTTTGCAATTAATTGTAAATATTTATCTGCATGTGCCGAGTAAGTTATTGTATGAGCAATTAAATTCAACTTTACAGAAGCCACAACCATCGGGTTTTGGGGCAGAAATACGCATATTTTTTTCTAGATCGACAGAAGAGTCCGTAACTACATGATGCCACTACATTGCTTCAAAAGATCAGAAAATGGCAGCAAAAAGTATTTTTCCCTCTTTTTGAACCCTCTATTATCTAGCGGTCATTGTAAGACAACCTAAATTCATTTGTTAGTTCCCAAATTACTAAAACATTGCATGTTATCAAAGACGCAATCATTGGTTCACAAGTGTCTTCTCCATTGAAGAGATGTAGCTAGGTGTAATGCGTTCCTTTCCATCCATAAATGTCATTAATGCGCAAAGATTGGCAGCCTGCAAAGGGTTTAGCTCAAAAAACACCGACATCCACTTGAAATTATTGTAATTAAACTTTGAAAATTAGGATGTTTAGTAGCGATCTTTGTATAAATGACATTTTGGAAACAATGATTTACCGTGTTAACACCATTCATAAGTTTTTAATGTGCAATATATGCCATTCTATTTCTGCATAACCCTTTACTTTCTCTGTTGGTTCTCTTGGAGTACTATTTGTTATGGCCAAAAGTTATTGCATACATTTACCGTCAAACGTTGATTGTTTATTTTTCTTATTATCGTAATATGTATTGCAGAAGGCAACTATCATACAAATTCGCAGTATAGTTTTTCTAGTCCTTTGATTTGTGCGCGTACAAGTACTATTGCCTATGCTAAGGATAGTTAAAAATACGTGCACATTTCTTTACCGTTTTATATCTTAAAACTATTTTTGCTAGACTGAAAACTGCAACGTCAAAATGTACTTCTATAAATATTTAAAAATTACGAAATATCAAAATCTGATTTCCAGCCAGAGGCTTCGAAATTAGGCGATAAATGTTTACATTTTGTACAGAAAAAATTTGCAACTGTATATGATAAAGTAGATTTAGAAGACAAAAGGATTGTCCGTGTTTCTTATTATGGACAGATTCGACTCATTTCTAATTTCGGTTAAAATTTTTGTTTGTTTTAACACATTCGAGCCCAATTCTAGATTAGCACTTATTTTACAAACTTCATAAAAAATAGGTAACTACCATACTTAAAGCCAGATTTTGTGGTGTGATAGGTAAACGAATGTATTCTACTAATTTACTAGAGTCCCTAAATCAATTAACACAAACATTATACTTATGTTGGTTAAAATGGTTTTCAATAATTCAAGCAGTGTTTGTTTGTGAAATTGCTCATTAAAACTGACAACCATGACCATTCTTAACCGCATAAATCTACTGCCACAAAGTTTCGAAGAGTTAATCTTATGCAGCATCCTTTTGTCAAACAGGACAAAATGTATTTTTAGCTAACTGGGAATAAAATTTGCCAGCATAAATGGCAAACATACTAAAAAGCACAATTTTTAGGGTTGTCAGCAGTCTAATAACATAATTGAAGGGACTGCGCTAACGAACCAGCAAGCCTCTCTGCAACGAGTAAGCATTACCCGCATAAATACCTCACACAACTAGTATAAATCAAGACGGGCCGTCCAGCTTAAGTATTCAAAGTAATCAAAAGAGCTTATACTGCTAAATAAAACTAAATGAATGGAGGTGTAAACGCGATGGCCAAAATAGACTTACTCAGAGGTGGATCGAAATGATTAATGGGTGTGAATTAACACGAATTACAACAACTTTTGCTGATGGAAATAGTAAATGAATTTAGAGTCTTTATCGTCTTGAAAAAACACAGGATGCTTAAAGCTATCACTTTTAGACCAGTACACACAAAAAATGCTTTAGAAATGCATTTTTTATCGATTAGGTGACTTCAATGTTAGAAACGACATCAGTCTTTTCATTTTCGGCAATACTGAGTCAATGGTTATCAGTGTGACTTGTCACCTAAAATGAGCTGCTTTTTTAAATATTTTTCGGCTCCGTTGCGTTATCGCAAATGTCACTGGGGCCTTTAATCTACAGTGACAGCCTTACAGCAAGAAGAGTAGAAAATGCAGATGGCGCGTAACTCAAGTAATTTATTGATTCAGTAAGGATATGTGACTTGTACAGAATAACAAGTGCATTTACACAGCTTTGCTAAACCTTGATTTTTAAACCAAGTTAGTTACGTGCAGACCATACACGCAAATCGATTGAATCGTGTTAGCTTACTTCAGGTACTAATAATCTTAGTTTTTACATTTAGTTGACTTTTGAATATTTAATTATAATGTCGTTTCGTTAAAAGACATTCTAATCAATTATTTCCGAACGACCTTTTGTTTTAACGCCTTATCGATACTCCGCTTCTTAAGAAAGTATTGGGTTTTATTCGCAGGTAAAGATTTGAGGATGTTTTCTCCACTTCATTGACCTTTTTCGTTTTGGCTTTTATTGTAATTATTTTTAGTTTTAAGGTATGTTGTCCCGCTGCGACCTATGCAATCCCGAGGACTCATCTGAAATTAATCGTTGGATCCTTGGTTGTCACTGTAATGAAGACCTATCGTCTAGTATTTTTTGTTTTCTATGTATTTCTTTGTAGTAAACGAATGGAGGTGGGCTGACTTAATTGGTGATCAACGAGTTATTGATCTATGTGAAGGTGGCAAGTCTGTTGTCTTTCATCCAATTAGCAGTCAGGGGACAGCTGTTGTCCGTGGAACAAAACCTCTTGCTTCCGGATTTCATTACTGGGAATTAAAAGTGCTTTCGCCAGTGTATGGTACTGACATCGTATGCTGCCGTTTCTATTTGCTTGGTTATTCTAGATGTTCGGGGTCGGCTCGCTTGATGTCGATTTAAGTGCTTATCTGACGCAATTCGTATCGTTTCTTGGTATAGACGAAAAAAGTTGGGGTCTCAGTTATCGTGGACAGTTTCAACATTGTGGAAAAATTTCATATATACCTGGGGGCGCCTATACACGTGGAGATATTGTTAGTTGTCTTCTTGATATGTGGCATAAAACCCTCACCTTCTTCGTGAATCGTGTAGCCATCACAGATCCCATGTAGGTCCAAAATTTCTTGATTTCACATTCGTTGTCTTCTTTTACAGTAGCCTTCCATTTGGATCCTATTATCCCATGGTTTGTTCAACTGCCGCTCGCAGTGGTTTCAGACTAATATTCTCGAAATCTTATGATATTAGTCTTCAAATTTTAACCTGTATTTCACTGCAAAATTCTTTAAGGACTCCATCAATACTCTTCGATTTACCTGGCTTTCCTCCTGGTCTTCAGGTATGATCACATCTTATATAATTCCCGGCAATTTTTAGTCTTTTCTCCGAAACAACCTGCCATGGTTGTTTTTCATGTCTCGCAGAAGGCAAAAATGCGCTCAGGTTGACGATTGTGAAAGCTCCTTCCCGGCGAAAAAAAGCCGAAAATCTTTTCAAGATTTTTCTATGTAAGTAGGCTATGTACAGTCGTTTTATAGTGTCTGTAGTACGACAATTCCACCGTCACCTTGGCAAATCTTGGACCGATTACTTCGGGAAGTACATGCTGCCGTTGTTGAGCCCCCAAGTAGTGATTTTGTTGAGAAATTTGAGAATGCAAACGCTGACAATGGGCGATGACTTCAATTATCTTTCAATATAAAACTTGCATACCTGTGTCTTTTTTTCAATTAATTTATGCATGCGCACTCGAAAGGTCTCTTCGTTGAACATTTGCCTGATCATTTGTTTGGTACATGTGTATTGTTAATCCATGTATCAGTATGCTTCAATCGTCGGAAAATCGGCACTTTTGTTTTTCCAGAAGGATGCCTCTCGTAGAAAATACCGCTGGTTGTGTCACTCTAGGGCAATCTTGTTAGCAAATTTTGGCAGATCTCTCTTGAATTCCGAGGTAGCTCAACTAGCGGACATCCTGGCTGTAATTCTTTTACTTTGGGGCGTGCAAGCATTATTATTGACCTCACATTATCCAAGCGGATACCCCTAATTTGGGTGTCTTCACGTTCGTTCAATGCCACATTTCGGATCTAACACTGGGTTAAATGTAGAACGCAACGCATGACTTTCGGATGTTTGGCACAGCAGTTTATCTGAAATGAAAAACATTTCCACAGTTTAAACAAGCGGATTCCTACAGTGATTAGGCTGAAAATAAGTGCAGCTAGCTACAACGTTCTTGTATCAAAATTTAATTTAACGGCGTCCCTGTTGTGGTTTGAGGTCCTGGAAAACTTAGCTTCTCCCCTTTCTGGATGGCCAGTTTTGAGTCTTCTGGTCAAATTTATTACTTAAATATGAACTCTAGGTCCAACGCAATTAGTGTTAGAAGCGTTATGTATAAAATCACTTGGGGTCCTAATGCAATATGGATGCATGTGTGCTCTCCTGTAGTAATCGTTGCGTAATGCAGTACGTTACATTTTTCCCCGTTTAAGAAGTGCATGGACTTTCTACACTGAGACCTTCGAACTGACTTATGCTTTGTAATTCCAGGGTCCATAATGCACTGTGGAAGACCTTCGTCAGGAGACCGTGCTCGGATCCGGCGCGCGATGCGCTCTTCAAGGCGTCAAACGACGGAGGTCGGTTATGTCCCGCCACCGCCATCTTCTTCATCAACACCGTTGTCAGACACTTCCCTTTTTGCCGATCCCCTGAGAAGCCAGAGTCAGCCACCCTCGGGCGATGCCTCTGCCCAGGTAAAATCCGTTTTTGAATCAGAAGAACAACTTAAGTATTATGAGTTTTTCAGCAAATTTATTTAATAAAAAAAGTATAGAACAAAGAACTTAGTCCTAGAAATATTATTCGTCGTTTTCTATGACCGTGCACCATCTCTCAATTAAAGTACGAATGCCGTCGCGAAAGAAGATTGCTGACTTCGAGGCAATAAATTCATCGACTAATTCACTCACATCGTCCAGCGTTTTAAAGCGTTTATCCACTAAGACGTGCTGATTAACCGGACCAAACGGCAGTAGCACAGGGCCAAGTCTGGTGAGTATGCCACGTGTGAGAGAACTTCCATCCCATGTTCAAATGGATCTCCTGAGTCTCGCGAGCAACGTGAGATCGAACGTTGTTAGGCAGCAGTATGACTTGTTTGCTCCTTCCCCAGTAAATGGCATTTTCTGGTCATGCCCTTCGCTCAGTTTGTTCAGTTGTCGACTGTAGCGTACCGCAGTCATCTTGTGACGACCAGTTTCCGTGAGTTCGTAATAAAGTACACCCTTTATGTCCAACCACCAGATACACAGGCGAACCGTCTTCTTCAAGTGGATGCCCTGTTTCGCCGTCGATGTACTGGTTGTCTGGGGCTTACCCACGACATTTTTACGTTTGGGATTCTCGCAAAAAAATATATTTTACATCACCTGTCTTAATTTTCCACAAGAAGTCCTTTTTTGTTGTCATGCAAGGAGTAAAGAGGATGTGTTCATACGTTGACCAAGGTTATGTTCGGTCAGCACATGTGGGACCCAACTTCCAAGTTTTGAATTTTTCACACTCGGTACAAATGCTGAGAAATAGGTCCTTGGCTGACTCCTAACTGAGCTGCAAGCTCTGTTGCGTTTACCTTGAGTCGTCAGCCAGCAGAGCTTGTGATTTCGCATCGTTACACTTTCAAGGCTAGTGTCCGGGTCGCAGCGGGCCACTAAGATCGATATCACCACTTCTAAAACGTTTGTATCAATAATCACACTTTTCATAAAACACAACATGGGCACCAAGGACACTGCAGACTGAATCCCGTGCGTTAAATGCATTTTTGGTTGCTGGAATTCGTATAAAATGAGGTGCCGAATGTGCTGTTTATCAGTTACTATCGCAAACTGCCATTCTGAGGGGTTATGTAACTCATGTAGACTTGTCGTCCGGTGTTATGAAACCATACGTCCAATCCTTCCAAGGGGCCGCGAAATTACTATCTTAAATACAATTTTAATCTCAAAAAATCTGCACAATTTAAGTCATGCACCTAATATTTCTGTTCCTTCAACGCGGGTCAGTGCCAAATGTGTGTTTATCGTGGCTTTCTTCATTGGTCGATGAGCATATTTTTCATTCACTACTACTCCGTCGAGGTTGGTGATGTCGAGCTCTGTGATCGTGAACAGTTGTATGAAACCCAAAATTAAGCAGTTCACCTGAACAGCAGACTACATTTACCGTCGGATTTCCTCTTTGGTGATGTCTCATAAGTCATTGTGTCGCTACCTTTATCAAAATTAAACTCTTTTTAACGATTTATGCTATTGTTTCAGAAATAAACGATAAAGGGAATTAGTATTTTACGTAATGGGCCCTTTACGTCTTTTATTGCCTTTTCGAAGGGAACCCTCTCCAGACAGCGCAGCGGAGAGGGTCTACTTCGCACAGAATCAACGAATTACATGAACGGTCGAGTTTCGGCAGCCCCACCCTCTCCACAGTCTGCTACCTCCGTTGGCCACCTTAACCCCCGCTATCGTTCGGCGTCTTCCGCTTCAACTACGTCCGCGCAGCTCCGTTCGACTGACCACGTTGTTGGTGGTGGTGCTGAGAGCACTGGAGGGGGCGAGAATTCCTCCAGCTCGGAGCTCTATCTGACGCCCCCACGCGGTGCTGGAAACGGTAGCAGCGGGGTAGGCGGTATTTTGCGACGCAGCAGACACGTTTCAGGCGAGGGACAGGAGGAGTCAAATCGACCACCTACGGCTGAATCTCCCGTTGTCTTTAGATTGCGTCAAGGATCAACTACTTTTTCGACTACGTTTAACCCTTCAACCAGTGCCACCGTAAGATTTTTCTACCTAATTTGGCGCTTTTGAAATGGTAACTGTTATTCTTGTTCCTTCTTTTTTATCGGTTTCTTCGTTAAACAAGGACTTAATTTTTCTTCGCATCCCTTAATCGTTGCCTCTGTTTAGTATTTGCTCTCTTTTCACGTGGCCTTGACCTCACGAATGTGTGGCCTTTTGGAAAGCGCTAAACGTAATCCCGGATTTGCATCCAGCTCAACCTAGTCAAAACAACTTGGTGCTGACGTAACTTATAAACCATGTGCTGAATGAAGAAAGTACATCATAGCACAAGGTTGATGAGTAAAATGACACACAATCTTTTCTGTACCACCGAACTTGCATACTTCGTTTTGTCTGGAAAATTAGTTCGTGGGTAAGTGTGTAGGTGATGTATTTTTTGAATTAAATGTGCTAATTGTCGGGTCCGTCCATGCACCTTATGAAATCGGTAGCCGCATTAGTTGATAAAGTGTTTGAAGATTCTGTTCAACAGAGGAGACTAAAAGCATCCTCGCTTCAGTATTGACGCCTGCGTTTGCCAAACATCGCTTCCCGACTTGCGCATTCGCCCGCAGCACTTCAGACGCCATTGCGATGTTCGTGTGCTTATCACAATAATCATGTCATTAAGTAACTGGGCGGGATCTTAGTAGTTTCCCTTTACTTGGACATAATTTACCTAGAAATCGCTTTTGCGTTCAAAGATACGGCGTGTGTGGAGTTTACGTCACAGAGCCCTCTTGGTGATTTTGAAAAAATTTAACTGCTGCCCCCGGGCGCATTCGAAAATTTACTCAGGCGATTTCCCCGTTCAATTTGAAGTGCCTGTTGGGAGGCCTGGCCGCGTCAAGTTGTTCCAGTGGCTTCAATGGGCCCCTAATTAGTGGTTTCTCCTATCTACACCTGGGGTACCTCACAAATACAAGTCACTTGTTTGTGTACTGTTAGTACTGGAGGCGGTGGGGGCAATTGTATTTAAATTACGTAAGTGTTTGTCTTCATCGCATCGATTGTTGTTTTTAGTGCATTAAAAAATGCGATGTAACCTTCCGAAAGTGGTTTTTGAAGCACTGGGCCCCTTGTGTACAAAGCAGGCCTTCAGCCCTGAAGATAAAAGTGGATACAATCAATCAAAGCCTCTGAGTTTTTTTCGCGCTTGTAGCACTATGGTATATAGCAAAAAACGGGCTGTTTAAAATGATTTGCGACAATTTTCTTAAACTATTTGAATTTCTTACTAAACCACGTTTAGCCGATTGCCTAAGGATAAAAATCCCGCCACTATTGTATAAAAGATGCTATCTTTAGCCCCAACTTGTTCTGATCATTGGCAATCAGTAGTGTCTTCGTTTCAATTTTGATTACTGGTTAAAGTACCTTCAACTGAGTTCTCCCATTTTAGTACTTAGTTTTTTTTAAGTTAAACAAAATCACCACTAATGTACATGTTTGGATTTTACCTGTTTGTTTCTGAGGTTAACATTTGTGTAATGACACGACTCACTCGATGGTGTGATATTATTTGTTCCTCCAACGAATTTTTCAGCCTTGCCTCTCATTTTCAGTTGTTAAATATTAAAAATATGCTGCTTCTGAATTGTGCGTGGACGCCGCTTGCGCAAACTAACTGCAAATGGCCTTAGACTCTTTACTTTGAGCACACATTGATCTCTCCACATAAGCACCACCTACTTGTTCCATCCATTTAAAACCCACTGTCATCGGTGTTGTTAGCACAAATTGCTCTTAGCATAGTTGAGGGGCACGTGGGGAAATTGTTGCAATAGGAAAGTGTTAAAAATTGCTTTACCCTCTTTGATTACCTAGAGCCAAGAGCCCGAGTCCGACCACGATCTATTTCTCGGTGAAAACAGCCGTCTCCCCTTTCGCAGTGAGGACCACATGCAGCGGGTCTTCCTTAACCTAAACGAAATGCGACGGTGAGCCTTCATATACTCCTAATTATGGCGCAATGCATTTTTCGAAACCCATTAGGCCGTCTCTGTGCGCTTTGATCACCGCTGTCAGTTATACCAAGGAAGATGTGTTTATCGGGTTAAACTACTGATGATCCAGGTTGACAATTGTGCAACGAGGATATCCCTAGGAAGAGCTTGAAGTCGGGAGGCGCTGGAAACTCGACCAACTGTTGGACTGCTGGATGCGTGTCTTGCATGGTTGGCGTTCGTTAGCATGCACAGATGAAGAACTGTTTGAAGGTGAATAGGGTGGAGTTACTGTGAGCGATATCAATGAGTCCCTATACTAAGATACGAATCTGTTGATCTGATAATGGTCTTGTTTGGATCGGATTGCCAGCTCACTCGTCAAATAGTCCTTCTGTGGTGTTTATTTCTTTACTTCTTTTTGTTTTCCTCAGCCAAGCTCGTGGAAAGCTTTCTTCTATTATGTGAATTGGCCACACTTTAATCCTGGCTAATATAAGCCTAGTGGTTGTCGAGCGTGGACATGCGAATACTGTCCCTCCAATCTGAGAAGCTTAGTATGATTTGATCGGATGATCCAAGCCACGTATTACTTTTTTCTTAGTAGTTTAATTGGTTTTAATTTTGCCGATCATCAGCAAATAATGCTTGCAGGTAGGCAGCAATGATTATTGACCATTGGATTTGCAGTGGCGCCTCCACAAATGAGCTTTTAGCAGCTCGAATTTAGAAAAAATTGCAGTATTTGTTGTTTAATTAGCTATTGTCTTGATTATTCAGACAGTGTTCAATTTTGGTAGGGCAAGAGGGCAGGTAGATCCTCTGCCTTTCTGTTTCCGCTCTTTTTCTTCCAAACCATCTAGCTAAAATGCTCGCAACCATTGTGTCCAAGGCTTTCCTACAAAGGTTAATACAACACATTGGTTCTTAGTTTGAGGGACGTGGTGAAAGTCTCTAGGAGGGAAATAAAAGGTCAATTTAATTGTTATCTGAATCTAAAAGAAGTGAAAACGCTGCGCTTTACACGAATCCCTCCAAGTAAATTAAGGATTAATATTGCGTGGTTCGCCAATGGAACGGTTCATTCTGAGGCTTTCCAAATAAAGCAGATGTTTCCTGCCGCTAAATTTCATGTTCTATTGGATGCCGCTAATAGTGACATGCGTTGGGTGGCGATAGCCGCACCTAGACAATAACATTCCTCCATGTACGTGCCACGTTTATGTCGCATTTATCTCCAAGGCAAAATCACGGTTGGAAGTCCAACGATTATTGAGCCATTCGTGGGCAATCGTTTTTCTCTCGATAGTGTTTCCCGATAGACCAATAAATAAAGAAATTCCGTGTAATTTGAAATTTTCTTCCCTAAATAAACACTCCAATTCACTTTTCTTGGTATACCCTATTCAGCTCATTAAATTCGTTGTTGTCAACTCTGCAGCCAATCAATGTGGACTTCTAGGGCTCTCCTTTGCATTACGCGGCGCTCTGTGTGTTACTTCACTGGTTTCTATTGAGTGTTCTTTAAACCAGTGAATAACTTTAAGTCGTAATTAGCATCCAGATGAAGCTTAAAAAATATCATTGAAAACCTCTGCAGCCCGTGCTTGATGACGCGTGGGAAAACCGTCCGTCATGTCTCCCGCCCACAGTCGTTTCCAGTTAATGTTTGCCACCTTTTGGGAAGCTCCCAATGATTGGTTCTGATTTCTTTTTGCCCTAACAAGCTCCCTGGCAAGCACTTTTTTGCGCGAGTCATGTTCTTAGGATCGCAATAGTGGGTCAAGTGCTCACCCACGGTCTCAAAACCATCAAGACTCTTGACCCGATTTGCTTTATTTCTATGACATCGACTTGAATAGCTGCTACTTGAGACATGCCTTCATGACCAGTCAAGCTGTGAACCTACCCAGAGGTTGAGTTTCTATCAGTTAGATGGTTTGTGAAAGTAAGTAATAATTTATGGGTTCTGTTTAGTAGAGTTAGCTCTCCGGTTCTCGCCTCTGATTGGTGGTTTGCCGGCCGTTTTAGCGTACGCACAATTGTCAAGTGCACATTTGGCTAATGGCCCGAACTCCGTTTAGGGTGGGTTCCTGTTTGCGTGTTTACTGACCTTCTCTTGAGACACCAGGGATTAAATTAGATGACACGCTACGTTGTTATGGCGTTCTTCAACAGGCTAACTTTGTGAACATTCAGTTTTGCCCTCTGGTGAGTTGGAAATGATACTCACACAGGCTGCTCGTACCAACGTCTGTGCTCAGAAAACTGTACAAATTACCTATTTAAAAAATATTCTCGTTACCCTTCAGTCAGCTTTCTTCTATTTTAACTGTGGCTTTCAGGTCGGCTGCATCATTATAAGCAAATTACGCATTAGGTCTAATTGTGTAGTGGTGGGTACTTAGTCGGCCCTAAAGTGCAATGAAACTGAGCCGTGGAAGCCAGAGGACAGACCTATTCCTGGAGCGTGAACATCAGATGCATTTAGGGTTTAGTCAATCTGACTGTCTGGCAAATCATAGCAGTCCAATCTAAATTATTCGGGTTCCACACATGGTTGCCACTTGCACAATTGTTTCATGTCATGGTAATAGCTGTAATAACACCTATTCGGTGATTTCGAGTTACAAGTAGGTGGCTAATTGGCATTTTAATTTATGTGAATATTTGCACTAATCATTCAAACTGATTGGGCCTTGTCAATGTGCACTCGCACCACCCTCTCGCAATCACCGTGCCTTTATGCTGACCGCATCCTGATCATTTTGGCCCCCAAGTCACCGTCTTAGTGACCACTTATGTGTGGATCGTACCCCAGGGATGAGAGAACTTTGCGGCTTGTGGGCCATTCGGTAATTTGATGTCCTCCGGTGGTCGTGTTCGAAATTACGACAATGCCGACGAACAAAGTCGTCATGTGAAGACATCGTACGAAAACTTGACATCACGTGTTCGACGATTAACCAGCAGGGAACGAAGCCAGCATCTTGCAAAAGAATCCTCGGATCTGGTTAAAATACACCTCTTTACTACAGCTGTATCAGATTTTGTTTTGTGGTGCACAAGTAAACGGCTAAAATCACTGTGGACACAAAAAAAACATCCTGGTAGAATTAAGTAGCTAACCTGGCTCGAATCCCATTAATGAACATTGTCTAGTGTCTGAGCCAAGCTGTTAATCTGAGCACAACGGCGTCCGTTGTTCAACTTAGACTTATTTTTTGTGACTAAATGAGCATGTAGATGCAGGCAATGGGCTCTGGTGGACTTCTGAAGGGCACAGCGTTCCCAATTCCGACACCAGTTTGCATTCTGTTTTTACGATTGCCCCGTGAAATTCCTCTCCGCAGCCGTCATAATTTATCTAATCAAGGCTGAAAATATCAAATTAATTTAGGCAAAGCAGCATTCCGTTTCGTACATAATTGAGGTAGACTTAAAACAAGGCATTCGAGTGCCTTCATTCTAATACCTTATAGAACGAAAACACTTTTGATAAATTGGCCACGAGATTCGTGTTTTTTTTGCGAGTATTTATCAACTTGTTGTTTTGACTGTCTTGGAATTTTATCCGAAACAGGCACAACCTCCTCTGCGACGTCGTCCTGAAGGCCGGCAGTGTTGAGGTTCCCGCGCACAAGAACGTTTTGGCGGCAAGCTCTCCCTACTTTCATGCCATGTTTACGGGCGAGATGACGGAGAGTCGTGCCGGCACCGTAAACATCGGAAATGTCGACGGGACTGCGCTTGCGCTCCTCATCGACTTCATTTACACAGCGGGTAAGCTGGCGCACTACTTAAGTACTCTTTGCATAGCTTAATTGAACTTAGCCGTTCTCGCCCCTCCGGCTGTTGGGTTCGAACCTAGGCGACCTGCGTTGGGTGCCAAAAATGCAAGTCACTGTTAATAGAAGTGGCTTAATTGGTAGTTCTTGCGTTTCCGTTAAATTACCTCGTCCCGCAAAATGCTGCATAATTTTTCTCCAAAGTGTGCATTGTAGCATGGCCCGAGCTGGATGAATAAATCAACAAAAATCCAAAGGCTTAGCTAAGGGGTTTCTCTAAGCCCCAAAATCCTACTCTACATTAGAAAAATAAAAGTAGCAACCTGTTCAATGGGAAATTATCTTGAAGGTAGTGCTGGTCGGACCAATTGTTTTTTTACTGTGCCTCGAGTTTTTTTGTTACTCCTCATGCAATTTCTCAAGAAAAGTGGTTTATCTTTTATGATGTTTTGACACGCTACAATAATTGTCTATTACTTCCCGAAGCCTTATGGCAATCGATGAAAATAAGATTTCACTGTCCAAGGGAGTCATAACATTCGAAGGAGGAAGTTTGCTTTTTTAAACCCCCTAAGAACCCATATGCTTCAATTAATAGATTTTTTTAATTCAAAAACATTTTTGATTACACTGAGACTTGAATTATTGGGAGGAATTTAAATGTACCCGATTACACCCATCCTCAATGCAGCTACTGTTTTAAAATGGTGCGAAGTTATTGATTTTTTTACGTGTTTCGATTTCTGAATAAGCCCATTTTCTGCAAGTATCAAGGCACACGGACGCCAATTTGGATCGCTCCCAATTTCAAAAACTGCTTTTAAAATGTGTTGACAAATGTAGCAATAATGATCCAGACAATACACATCCTAAAATAGTCACCGAAATCATGCAACTATTACCGTGCCAAAGTGTTGCCTTATTCGTGTACCCTGTTTCCTTGACTTAATTTAAGCAGACTGAAAAATGCATAGTATATTTCTGTATAGTGAAGATTGTTTACTTATAAGGCTATAAAATAAGTGAAGTTAGTTATGCAAAATCCGGGGAATTCAGACAGAAACCAAAAAAGCCAATTTTAAAGACATCGATCATTAAAAACATCGTTAGTGGAACGATTTGTAAGGGTTTGTTTCACGTATTTCATAATGACAAATGAGCCAGTGCAAATAAAATTCAACCACCACGTTCGTGCCTCTTGCGTCCTCTGCGCACAAGAATGTGCTAGTTTTTGTTCATCAATTTTGGACGGCGCAACAAGCATAAGTGTTATCTTTCCCACACATACTCCAGGCAGTTGTTTAAGTTGTTGGCATCCTATATTACCAGGCTATGTAGACACTTGCCCTGCCGTGTTTTTGACCAATTATTTGTGGAAACATCACAGAGATGGTTGGCCGCTCCTGCACATCGTTCTGTCCCGCAATTATTTTCATCCGCACTGTAGAATGGCACCAACATGCTACGCGGAAAGCATAATGGTTGCATAATTTTTCGCTGTCAGCGGGCAAATTAAGGCGCTAATTTACGGTCCCACGTGCTTGACTGCATTCCTTCCACCCGTACAGCACCCTCTTTACTGGGCCCGAGGGAAGGGCGTTAAGTTGAAAGTGATTCTGCACCTACCAAGGCGGACATTAGCAGGCCATGGGATGTTTGGTGTCTCGCTATCAAGCCAATTATTCCACTGCACAAGTTGATTCAACAGAGTTTAAAATTTTCTTTTTTCTACTCTATGTAACAGTGCTACCTTTTGTTCAAACGGAATTGACTTCAATTAATCTGTGTTATTGTGTCCAAAATGGAAAGTTGCGTTTTTCTTAAAAAACGGCAAAAATACTTCTCCATTTAACAGGATTTATTTGAGGCCACTGCGATATCAGTGTGACCCAACACAGACAACACAATATTTGCTGAAAATGAAGTTATGCTGTTCATTTGATGGAATGGAAAAGATGAGGTCTATTATGAACTCTTTCTTCAATAAATCGTATTGTTGATTTCATTGAACACTTCAGTCTTCAGTTTTTTTCCAACTTATAACAGTAATCAATACGAAGGGACTAGATATCTCTGGTACAGGGGCGTTATATTGCACTGCCGCATTCGTGTTAGTGTAAGTTTATCCAATTTGAATAATGCTGAAATCAACATCACCCGGGTCTCCATTATCACGTTACGCGAAATCCACGTGGACGTCTTTATGACGTAGCACTTTAAAGACGTCGGAATTTATGCACATATGTAACACTTCACAAATGTGCTAGTCAGGGATTCAACCTACCTTACCAGGAGATAATTATTGTCGCCAATGATTATGCCAAGGCCGCGGCATGGGAGTCGGACCCCCATCGGGACAATTTGTTTGCGGGCACGGCCCGCAGATACCTCGATGGAAGTGTTGTGGCCAGTGACAGCGCACCGAGCCAACCTGGTCTTATATGCACATAAGTTAGCTGATCCTTTCCACCGAAAGCCTGCTGTTCGCTTACATCACAAGTAGAGTGCAGTTTGGCTGGCTCGCGGCCCCTTGAAAGTGCACTTAAGTCCGTAATTTTGTAGAGGTCCTCATCACTGAAGAAACTGTACAATTTCTTCTTCCGGCTGCTAACCTCCTCCAGTTAACCAGCGTTCGCGATGCCTGCTGCGAGTTCCTCCAATGTCAACTCCACCCAACTAACTGCCTTGGCATTCAGCGTTTCGCCGACATGCACGACTGCTCCGAGCTGCTTCAGGTCAGCCGGCGCTTCACCGAACAACACTGCGGGTAAAGTCTGGCTGACATTCCTGTTAGTGTGGCCTCGTTCTCAGAAGACTAGCGCTGCATCTATCCTCTTGTAACAACTCTTTACCCAACCTTGCCTTTACGAACGACTGTTCTTGAGTGTAATGAAAATCTCAATGGGTGGTAGCCACTTTAACTCGTGCACTCTCTAAACTATTTATGACGTTTTCATGCGTATTTGTCCCAAAGGATTATTATTATTGCATAATGGGCAGTAAGCATGGTGAGCCTTATTGGTGAACCGCAGCCAAGTGCACATTCCTCATAAAGCCTCTGCATGCAGTAACTTTTGCCGACTGACTTCTGTCTCCTTGTTGCTCTTGTCCAGTTTACGGTTTTGAGGTATCCCACTATTGGTGAGGCTGCCTCAGATTTGATGCTCGAATAATTCAAGGTGCTACTGATTACTGATTCAAACCACTTGAATCTGCCCAAATCACCACCACACACCCAGTCCGCCAATGTTTTTAAGTTGAAGTCTCCAAAATGCTTCAGCATACAGTCACATCGAGATAGTGGTGTGAAGCTGGAGTATACAATCATTCCCTGCCTCAAGTAAATGTATGGCAATTTGTACTTGATTTCTTTGCCCCCTAACAGTGAAGTCTTGCAGCACGGTGATGAATTCCTGAATCTCTCTAAGGACCAGTTGATCAGCCTTATCTCCAGCGACCAGATCCGTGTGGCCGAGGAGCAGGTCTTCGAGGCAGCTCTTCGTTGGATACGTCAGGACCCAGCTCACCGGGAAACCCCTGAGATAGCCGCCGAGGTGTGTAGCCACGTGCGCTTCGGTCTGCTACCCAGAAACTACCTCGTTCGACTCTCTCAGTCAGATGATTTTCTTTACTCCAACCCCTGGTGCAAGGATTTTCTTCTAGAGGCTATGGGATTCCTTTTGTTGCCATGGGAACAAAGGAGACGCAACACATCAGAACGCATGAGGCCGCGCAGTGTTGGTGCACCAAAGGCAAGCAGTCGTTTTCACTTCCGAAAAACCGGCCAAGTTATTATTGACAGCTTAGTAGAAATCCGATGACCCATTTTTCTTAGGAACTACATTCGTTTTTTCTATGCGTGGTTTCGTGGAGTGCGTTTACGTACAACAATAAGGCAATGGTCCCAAGCCTGCTAATGATTTTTGATTCGCTCTGCTGAGCAACATGTACGCTCGGCTTATTTGTCCATAGCTCTTGAATGCTACTGATATCTACCCGGTAGCAAGAATTAACCAGTTTCTGGAGTTTGTGTGTGCAAATTGATCCTTTTGGTGAAAAGGAAAAAAAACTCCCTATTGTAGGCCCTTCTCGTGTTCGGCGGCCAGGCCCCAAAGGCAATTCGGTCAGTCGAGTACTATGACTTTGCAACGGATACCTGGACTTCAGCAGGAAGTAGCGTTGCCATGCAATCCTCTTCTTCATCGCAGTCCTCCTCCGGCTTGCGTTTCCCGATTACTGACCTGCCTAACAGACGGTGTCGCTGTGGCGTGGCGGTTGTGGGTGGCCTTATCTATGTGATTGGGGGCTTCAATGGAGCCCTGCGTGTCCGCTCCGTGGATATTTACGATCCTGTCAGACGATGCTGGCGCGCCGGACCAAGCATGGAGTGCAGGCGGTCGACGCTCGGAGTCGCCGTATTAGATGGTGTTATCTACGCCGTTGGTGGGTTCAATGGCGCCAAAGGTTGGTTCAACCAAACCGATATCGTATCAGCAGCACCAATAAAACGTGAATTTAAGAGCTGTGCCAATAATGCCCACGGCGTCCCCCTCAAACCTTTGTACGTTGTCAAACTGAAGCCATTTTGCTTTTGAACTTCATTCTATTACAACACGCCATAACTGGTTTCGTGCACTTCAAACTGGTCAAATAGACACGTACTCAAATCCAAAATCCAAATGGAGCAAATGTAAAGTAACATTTGCAGGCTACGACGTTTATTTTTTGTGCAACTTCCGTGGTAATAGCAGGCACGAAAAGAGTAGGAATAGCTAGTCCGTAGTAATGCGCATTGCTAGTGGCTTAAGCAGGACATTTCTACACGTCCATAGGGTTTTCCTCGGTAGAAGCCCTTGATCCATGGTCGGGTGTTTGGAAGTCCGTAGCTCCAATGTCCGTTTCCCGCTCTTCCGTTGGTGTCGGTGTGCTTGGGAGGCGCCTTTACGCTGTTGGTGGTTACGATGGGACAAGTAGGCGTTGTCTTGCCTCGGTAGAATGCTACAACCCCCTTACTAACCAGTGGTCACCCGTTGCCGATATGAATCACCGACGGAGTGGACCTGCAGTGTCTGACTTGGCTGCCAGGATCTACGTGGTTGGTGGACACGATGGACTACTCGTGCGTTCTTCCGCCGAGTACTTGGATCCACGAGTTGGCGTCTGGTGCAGCATAGTTGATATGCACTTCCCTCGAAGAAATGCTGGTACGTGTCTCAATTTATTGAAATGACTGGATGACCAAATAACCACTCAGATGTAGCTTGGATTTAAGAAATTGAAAGGATCGTGTTTCTGGCCACAATTTAAGACGAATGTTGTTTCTAGGATTGGTCTCACACAATGGAATGCTCTACGTGGTTGGCGGAGACGACGGAACAGCCAACCTGGACTCGGTTGAAACCTACGATTCACACCTCAATATTTGGACGCTCCTATCCGGAAGACTTAACACCGCCCGGTGCTACGCCGGTGTTGCCCTTATAGACAGTGCCTCCCCAATAAGTAACTCCTAGCCTCATCTGCGAGTGTACACACGTCCAAATCCCATTTTTAGACTTTTCACTACATTCACCAAATAAATGAACATTTGGCTGCCAACGTAGCTTACTTTCGCCTTTAGCCTGCGGGCTTGTTAGCGTTCCTTAATGTCGCTCAACGTGGCGCTTTACTGACCGATTCGTTGGTTTAGCATGTGCTCTACGTAGAGCAACGTGCACTTAGATGATCATGCATCTTCTGAAAGTGAATTCCGGGTAACTTCTGCAAAAATGCTTGAAGATTTAGATACGAAAATTAGTGATTAGGTTCCACGGCACCCGAAAATGCGAAATATGGGAGGCACGCCTCTTTACCGACTCCCTTCCCGACCTGGTAACGATTCTAGTTTCTCAGGACATCAACTTTAACAAAAGACAATATATAAAAGTGGCCGCAGGTCAGAGGTAGCGTTGGTGCCATGCAAAAGAGACCCTGGTACTACACGCACCTGGCAGTTTGATTTGAAACGAGGAAAAAACCTCGATCTTGGAGAATGGAAATATAGGACATATACACCGAATAACGCAGTGGTAATAATTAGCTTTCTACCGCCTCAGGCCTCAAAAGAGTGGCTCGGACCAATTCCCTGGTACAAACGACCAGTCATGGTTCTCTTAGCACTATTCATGCTTGCGGTGTGTGCATGCCTCTTGTGAAAATAGTTTGGGTTCAAAAGTCGAGTTAAGAGGCCTTGTACTGACGAAATCAATGCGACACATACGCAACACATTGGCCTCGTTCGCGAAATGATAAATTAACGTGATAAATCAGCAGGGATTGTGCTTCAAAAACGTTTTACATTTAATGAAATTGAATCAAGTTAAAAAAAAGTTCGCAACACCTGACGGTAACCACTGCGATCATCGGTATCAGCGACCCTTAAAGTTGATTATTTCTTACAACTATAGACTTGAGTTCTCGATGGACAGCATAAAAAAGGCAGAAAAGGTAAAACAAGGAATCTCGGAATCAGGTAATTGTCCCATGGCACACAGTCCGCTGCCTTAAAGTGCATGTACGCTAAATCTAGACTTAACATCCTTTAACCACGATTGGGGTCATTTGCCAATATCTGGAAAAAACTAAACTTACAGCATATTTACTATGCCACTTAAAGAGGTGAAACCCAGGAAAAATGACAAGCCAGACATGTAGCCCAAAACATTTTAAACACAAAAAAATCGATGGCACACCAGAAAATATATTTTATAATTTACTTCTTCGACTTTGCGTCGGCGGCAGCAGCTTTCTTTTCTTCCTTGGCAGCAGCCTTCCGTTTCTCAACAGCTTGCTTTATCCTTTCTTTTCGCTTTTCCCTCAGTATCTGCTTAAGAACTTTTTGTTCTTCCATCAAAAATGACCGGAGGATTCTGTGAAGATAAATATCGGAGAATATACTAAACAAACCTAGATCGGACGCACGCATGACACCGGCTGCCTCCGTATGTTCGAGATACAGTCTTTAAACGTTTTGACATACGGGCACGGGTCATTGGCCTGGAGGGCTTGATACCAGCGAGCTTTCTCTTGCAGTCACCGCATTTGGGGAAAGTGCCACGCTTTTTTTGATAAATATACACGAGCTTGCCACCAGGGGTTTTAACCCTAAATTCGACGGAATTATAGCATTATGGATATGAAAAAAAAAACATTCATTGGCAAATTACTTACTTTTGCCTTTTATTTGAGTTGGTATTGTAAGAAAGGCGCCTCCTTAGCGTTAATCTCTGCATGCTTCAGGAAAACTAGAACGAACCGCTCACCCAAGTACCAATAATAAAAACAAGACCGTGAACATCTTTCAAAAAAACTAAATATGAACGCCAAAAACAAATTCTTTATTATAACATTTTTTACAATCACCTTATTAGGCTGCATAGCTATTTAAAAAACTTTACTGTTTTTCAAATTCAAAAAGACTGGCTTGCTTTTGTTCACTTCCACGTAATTGCCTTGCTTAATTCCCTTCTTTAAAGACAAGCAACACTTTTGCTTTGCAAAGACGTTGTGATGAATTATTTTCTGGTGTGCATTAAAAAGATTTATCAAAATTCTCCTCACCTATTTTTTCAGTCAGAATTACTCAACTTCTCAAAAAGGCAACAAACAGAGTTTGAGTAAATTTATTCCCTCGAAATCTGAATGCATTTTTCGCATGATTACAAGGTTCTACAAAAGTTGCATTAAAGTTTTCTATTTGGGCCTGAAAGTGCGCGAAAATATTCCAATACATTAAGATATGGATGAATCCTAGGTATATTCCACTACAGTATTATTCGCCTCTTTCCTAGTGATTTAATAACCTATCGCCCAAGGCTAAGTTTTTTTATATTTTCATTAATGTTTTCTGGTGTTGCATTAATTTTACTTTACTGTGTTTTTAATTTGCATCCGTATTTAACATTGGAAATTAGAAATATTCTTATTTCCATGACATTTATCGTGTCATTTCAGTTAATCCCAATGCATTAAAGTAATATCAAAAGAAAGTTCCTCGAACAAAAAAAGGTCTGGATTAAAAAAAAATTGCAAATTTTGAGGAACTTTATATTTTTGATTTTCGATTAAACTTGCCTCTGTAAATATTGTTTTTCAGCACGATGTGTGTCAACCAATGTTTTTGACTGGACAAATTGCACATGCTGTTTTTCTTTCAATTTTTTTAGTTAACCCAAACACAACATTTATTTAAAGGAAACCTCTACTTATCATGCGAAATCATAGGTTGAGTGCATTGCTGAATTTTGCATCTCCTCTTCTAAAAAATTTCAGGTAAATTATGTTTTCTAACCACTTTTTCACTTAAACGACAGAAGCTTTTGCTATTTTTGCTATCATAAACGTCCACTTTTTGACTTAAATTTTGCAGTTTTTCTAACTGCTGAAAATTGACCTTGGGATTTAGTTTATACTGTAAGTGGCCATTGAAGGAATGTACAATAAATGCAAAAATGCTACATTCAAAAAATCACTAACATCACTTTCTTTTATTTTCTGTCACTTCTACAGAGGTGGTTCATATTTTACACAGCATCAATATTTTATTACTGGATTCTTGATATCTATTGGAAGCTTTATTCTTCCCTGCGTCAAAAGCCATCATTAAGCATCCTGGTGTCCGAAATTGAAGTTCCCTTTTATACATGATACAATTTCATTCTACTTGATCAATTCTGTTTTTGAGAAATTACCTTAGGTTCATCGCCGCTTTGTTATCGGCAATGAAATTAACGATATCTTTACGTTTTCAAAATGTTTTTGCAGCCACGTGGTATTAATCAATAATGATAATAATAATTATTGTTATTATATTTTAATTCCTTGTTTTCTTGAAGCCGAATGTGTTGCCTAAACACATACGTTGCATACGAATTTTTTTTCAAATTCTTTAGAATTTAGATTCTGGAAAGACATCATAAAATGTCACGCTCAACTAAACCAAGCCATTTTTCACGTCTATCACGACACCGAAATCCTCTCGCAACTTGCGTTAGTTAATGTAATAGCCCACACGATCATTTTTGCAAAATGATTAATTGCCTTTAATACTTGTTTTCATGATCAACCCCATCGAATTCAAATGATAACCATAATTGTCAATGCGGTTACTTTAAAAACAAAAATGCATTTTTCTCGGCGTTGAACATCAGTATAGTTTAGCGATGAACTTTTGATTAGAGTGCACAGCTTTATTCACTAAGAGCTACTCTGTGAATCACAGGAAAAAGTAAAAAGATTTCATTTATAAACCTACCCGGACTCGTTCTATATCGAAACAGTGAGAGAATGCATGAATGCTTATTGCAAACAAACGCATTTAGGCAAGTATTTATTATTAACTAAAGAATGCTTAAGCTAGCAGCCATTTGTTAATGAATGTTATGTATATGATTAGTTCTGATGCTTAGTATTTCCGTTACTTATAAAATGAGGACAGATAAAAACACATAGGTTTCAATAAGTTTCAGATATTTGGAAATGTAAATTCGGTTGTGCATACCGTAAAACAATGGACAGTTCTGTTCACCCACTACAGAACCATGACGTACAAATGTACGTCAGTCTCCAGAGTGAATAGTCAAGTAATAACTCTTAATAAAAATTACGTATTTTAAGCACAAAAATACTGCCAGACAAGCTCATTTAAATGTTTATGTAGAAGGCGATAATTTTGCAGATGTATTTTGGGTTGATGCATTATTTGCAGCTAGGCTTAATTTTTCCATCAAGAGTTTTTTAGAGTTACATTTCAACTAGAATGGTAGTTAAAATGATTCGTCTTGTCATCTATAAAAACCAAAATAACATCCTTCAACTAATAAAAAATCAAAATCCGTAACTTAATACCTCACACCTATTATGATATTCAGACATATAAATGCCCCACTTCATCATTTTCATTTTCTTAACTTACGTTATTCCTGAATTGAAGCAGCTTCTCGAAAAAGACGCAGGAATATCGAAAGGGAAATGTCCGACCACCATGCTATCTTCACATCTTATTGGTACACATATGTTACAGACCTCAAGCTCTTTTTCATGATGTTAATTGCTAGACGAAGCAGCCTTTTTGCTTTTGGGCTCATGACATAGGACATATTCCATGCTGAAGTGTGCAAATTAATGTTAGATCTTATTAGCAGTAAGCAAAGTTTCACTTCAATATCCATCGTTTTAATTGTGTGGGTAAAATAACATTTGATCTAGTCTAAAGTAATTTGCTATGCTGTCTTAATTTATGCAGATTGAATCTTTGGGTCTCCTTAAATTTAAGTTCCTTTTCTAAACCTGGTTTATGCCATTTTATTTGAGCTTACAAAAGCACCTCGGCCTGGTTAAATAATTAAAATACAAATACTCATTTAAGCTAGGTGTAGGTAAATTTAGGTAGTTTTATTATTTGAAATTTCACTATTTCTTTAACTTACAATCATTTTCAAATATGAAGGCTTTGCGTTTTTATTAATTAGGTGATTTGTCCTTATTCAAAAATACACTGGTACGCAGGCCTGATATGCATAATGATTATAGCTTTCAGCATAACTAATGCAGCTGCTTTGCACGATCATTTTAAGGCTTATCAACTTCGTTTATTTGTTCTTAGGGACATATGTTTTCAAACTTCTAAGTTGTATTAAGGTTCCTTGCCAGCTACATTTTACGTGATGGCATCATAATTCTTGCCTTAGTCAAGATGAACTGATTTGGTTGATTTATGCCTACAAGTGTTAAAATGGTTTACAATGGCATTTAATGGAATTATCATTTCGTCATAAAATACATGTATTTCTGATTTGTTTTTGCCTGCATCAAATTGACTTAAGTCGGATCCACCTCCAAGTTAAACGAAATCAGTAAGGCCTTTTTTCCACATAAATGTGCAGGTGGCTGGTCCTTCAACCTATGGCAACATACCAGTGACTTATTTTGAGATGCACATGTCTTATTTTTTTAAAATCTATTTCAATTATTTCGTAATTTTTTTCATAACTAAATGTTCTAACATTATTTCCTTCCTAAATCTTGTTCAGTTGATTTCAATTACCATTACGGTGTCTACCAAACTGTAAAAGTAAGTTATCTGCGATTTTAAATAATGACTCGTTACGGTCGTATTTTAATAAGATGGTTAAAGAATACGCCGACATTTCATCACCTGCATCCTCATTATCATTCATAATGTCTAAGTAAACCTAACGTTGTTTGACCTTTGAAGTCAGGATATTTGAACACATGACATTGTCTAGGGGTCTTTAAACTGATGTGAATTCAGTCAAATGAATTCGAATTGGTGTATCCAGGCCTTCAACACAGAAAAAATGCGTCATACTTCATTTAGCGTATTTCAAAAAAGATTCACAAAATAAATGTTTGCCAATCTGTTTCAAAATTGCAAATTTGATGTTTCACCAGGCTAATGCGTAGACTGTCCTAACACTGAATAAACCCTATTTGATTTCTTTTGGGACGACCAAGTGCAACTGTAACGATTCATGCTTTTAGTGTTTACCCCAAATGGCATCGCCAACTAAAGACTAATGAGCTCTCCGGACTCGACAATGTTAGTCCAGAGGTTAGAATATGCGTTCTGGCACATTCTTTGAAATATCTTATCAATTTCAAGGCTTTACCTAGCATTGATCACTTAAAACCCCAGTCATCTCAGTAGATACTGAGAGTATATAGATTTATGAAAGATATCAGAGGGTGTGCAACTCAGCGCTCGAGTGATTACCACACCCTCCCGGTTCGGCCTGTCCAAGTCCTCGATTTGAACCCACCGTTTCTTATCTACTAACACCTCTTGCTGCGTTCTTACCTCAGCACGTCGACCCACATGATTCGATGCACAAAACCACCTGATCCTAACCCCATTCAACGTGAAGTCAAACAAGACCACATAAGGTAGAATCAGACTCTGATTACTTACTAGTCACAGGCCCAAGCGGCTTTAGCGAAACTGATTTAAAAAAAGTATCCTCGCGATCTCTTTTACCCTGCCTACCACAGTAATTTTGTCAAATGGCAGACTTGAGATCTGGGGGTACTTGAAATTCTATCGACCTTTTTCTATATCTGGATGGGTTTTCAGATGCTAACGAACAATTCCAATAGTAAGCACGTATCAGTTTACTTCACTACAGTTCCTTGTTAGAGTACTCGTTGGTATGCAATGACAAAATACACCCTACAGTTATAACACGATTGAAGAACGACCCTCTAGGATTGTAAATAAGGGTTAAAACCACACGACTATTTACAATCACAATTATCCAGTGACAAAGGAGATGAAATGGATACAAACAAGCGAAATACGACACTTGGGCAAACATTGTGAGGTAAATAGACTGATCAAAGGGTCTATTTCTTCTTCAAACCAGCACCGGCATTGAACTTGAAGAATATAATATCACCGTCCTGGACGATGTAGTCACGTCCCTTTTGCCGGTATTTACCGGCCGCCTAAAAGCACAAGAGATTACTTACAGACTGGAATATGACAAGTGTGTGGCAGAACCGAGCGTAGACTATTTCCAAAATAGTTACTTAAAACAGATTTGACCAAGTAGGCAAGGTAGGAAGCACAACAGAAGGCTACTTCTAGCAAAAATACCACATGCAACGATTTAGAAATGTGTTCGCGAAAAACGTATTAGTGTCAGCTTTGAATGAACTATTGTACAGTTACATCTGGTAGTAAATAATGACAACAAAGTAGATGCTAAGAGACAATTTGTCCGCATACGCTTTCGGCAAAATGTAGACAATATCGGAGAAAAGTAAGAACTACGACATGAGGCTTTGGTGTAACTAAGCACGATTTTTGACATTTTTTTACAAACCCTAACCGTGAGAGCATTAGTCGATGCATGGGTTGTATATCGTGCTGACTAGAAAGACCAGCACATATTACGTCAAAAAAAAAACAAAGACCACACCTTAGTTGTCTTTGTTAGCGACGTGGGTAAGAGTGTTGTTAGCGAGATCGTGCATGATACTCTAGTGAATGAAGATGATGTTCGGTGGGAGAAAAACAGTGACGACAAATATAACGTTGGCGACAGACGAGTTTTCAGATAAATGAGCACGGAGGCATATATTAATGCCTTGAGGGCGCGATTAATAACACGCATTTCCCGAGGTCGCAGTATAAGGTTCATACTTCAACATCACTGCAGACTTTAATAAGGTAAATCGAACTAATAACTTCATTGTAGCATTTCTTTAAAAAAGCTTTTTTGATTATAGGACTGTGACAGGTAATTGGAAAATAAACTTTGTGGAATAAGAGTGACTACTTGGCTTTTCAACACTTATTGAAGCAAAATTACCTCCAAGAAAAATTTATCTTTTTAGTAATTAAGGAATACAATAAATGACATGATGTATTTTGAAAAATTTTCAAAATACTAGAGTTTGATTACCACGGATATAAAAACATCTCGAGTAAATTAGGCGTTCCACTCGTTTGCATATAATGCAACATACTTGCTATTCCTTTTGTATTATACACATTTGGCTTGGTGGAATTAATCTATTATTTAGCCCTATGCAAGTGAATATCCCATCCTACCTAAGGTGCGGCCCATTATGAATGCATTCAAGAAAGTTCACGCAAATACATCATTTAGAAAGCCCAGCGATTCAAAGACCAGTCACGAACCCAACAAAAAAACCAAGCAGCTTTTAAAGCAACCAGTTTTGGCCATTCGGTAAACAGGAATTGAGAGACAGAGCGATACCATGTAACAAATAAACATACTCTGCAAGCGGCTTCAGATCCTTCAGCCTTGAATTCGTCGAAGCTCATTACTTCAGCCATGATAAAACCACGTTCCATGTCCGTGTGGATCTTGCCTGCTGCTTGAGAGGCCCTTGTGTTTTTCTGAGGAACAAAGAAGTGAATAAGAAAGAAAATCTTTCACACAAGTACGGCAGTTACGAATAAGCCGATTTTTATAAACAATAGCACAAGAGCGGATGAATTGACCGTACCCCTATTGGGTGGCCGCTGTCACTATTTAGCTCATCACCAATGAATTACATCAAACGTCCCAAGAGGTACGCACCTGAATTGTCCATGCCTTGACTTCATCCTTTCCAGCAGTAAAGAAATAAATTAGCTGAAGAGCTTTATATCCCGTTTGAATTATTTTTGGTAGCTGTGAATGTGTGGTGGGGTTTTCCTCGGCAAAGGACTTCTTCTCATTTTCTGACATTTCGGCATAACGTAATTCAAAATCCGCCGAAAACGGAATCATCGCTGCGCCGGGGTCATGAGTGTCAACATACTCCTTGATTTTCGGTAACCTTATTTTGAAAAACGATTATGTATGATTTGTTAGTATCCATCACGAAAAAATGAGGTATTTACACTTTCTAGGAAATCACAGAGAAGCAAATTTACTGTACCACTGTGAAACATGCAAAACACAATCACGACTTAAGATGAACCGATATTAGGAGGAGAAGTAGAGGATAATTGTCAATTAGTCAAATCAGCAAAGCGAGTTCCCAGTAAAGTAGAAAAAACCACTCATATCACATAACAATGAAATGTGAAAGCTAACCACTTATTCTTCTTTCGGAAGAAATCCTTTTCAGACATGTTTATAAGATAGACCATTGGCTTGGCAGTAATGAAGAGATGGTCGTTCAGAATTTCGATCTAAAGATATTGAAAGTGTGAACGAGATGAAAAGTGGTGAAATGACTTAAGGTGGTGACGGCACACCTCTGCAGCATTCCAATCCCCAAAACGAATCCCTTTGCGGTCTTCACAAAGAAGATGCTTCGCTTTGGTTATACATTCGAAATCAGGCTTCTGTTTTTTGTCGCCACCACGAATGACTGCCTTTTCAAGCTTTTCCCATATGTTTTTTACGTATTCCTCATCTTTTTGCCGCAGCTCTTCTTCAATAATTTCCATATCGCGAATTGGATTTACATCCCCTTCAACATGACTAACGTCTGGGACCTCGAAGACGCCTACGTTAAAAAAAAGACTTAGTCAAGCATGAGAGGCCGAAGCTTAAATGTGTGTGGTAAATAAGGAGCTCACGAAGCATTTGAAAAATTCCATCGACAGCTTTTATGTGGGACAGGAATGCATTTCCCAGTCCAGCGCCTTCATGTGCACCTTTGACTAGGCCAGCGATATCAACCACATTAAGGTATGCAGGGACACGACTACAAAAAGTAATAAAGGATATGATAAACTGGAGTGGATGAAAACGCAAACAGGGGAGCAAAACACACCTTGCAGGTTGATGGTGAGCACAAAGGAAGTCGAAGCGCTCATCGGGTACGGCAACCCGACCTACAACCTGTCATAGACGTCAGGATTACTTACTTTCATTAGGATCTATCGTACAAAAAGGGAAGTTGGCAGCGGCAGCAGAACTCTTAGTTAGAACGTTAAAGAACGTGGATTTCCTACAAGGATCTTAAGTATTTTTTATAAATTGTACCCAACATTGGGAAGACCAACGATGCCACATTTTAAATTTGTTCCTACGCGCCCAAAAAGCACAGATTTGGGAGGCAAATCTGCCTTTTTCTTAGACATAACGAGAAGATGCCGAAAGTCACGATGAAGTTAAGTCGAGCGGTCTTTGAAGCCGCATGATAAAAGGGCTTTAGCAAAGGTCGTTTTCTATGTATTTTGATTCAGTAAAAACCATTAAAAAATTTTATTTGACCTTAAAGGCTCTAAGGTTCAACAGCACAAAATTTTAACGCAACGCATGTTGCATATGAATCATTTCTAATTTAGGGTTTTCGAAATGCACAATTCTTTGGAAGAGAATATCGCAAACACTCATGCCTGCAGATACATTTTTTTGCAATTTGGTTGTGTGGGTGTAAAAAATGTGTACGTAGGTTTTTTGAAGCAGACCTAAGCAATTTACAGGGTTTTCAGCAAAGTTAGTTTTTTTGTTTAATTCAATTAAGCCCATTTTAAACCGGATGATCGACAGCTAAAATTACCATACATTTCTCGCATAAATTTTCTGAGTTTAATTTACGACATATAAAACCCCAATTACGTAGCGATTCTACGCAATTGTACAACTGAAACCAACAGACATTTTTTCGTTGATGATATTTACACAATGGAATTTAATACCTTCAGCAAGCCCTTCGCTTATAACAAGATAAACTCGAATTTCTTCCACTGCCTATGAGCTATTTTTCGGAAATTAGAAAAAAATATTTTGTAAGTTATGGAATTAAATTGTCGTCGTGAAAATTTTAAAGTCTAAGGAGGTTGCATTGAGCTTTTACTAAAGGTACTTTCAATCGCATAGCTACCCAAATGGAGTTGGTCACTAAATTTAACATGCAAGGAACATTGCAACAATTCTACTGTACTATTGTTGAGGAATTTCAAGTGTACATTACATTTTTTCTAGAGACGATTGCTTCTTTTAGTTTTCACTTAGTTTATTTTTTAACCACCTCATCTGAAACTGATTAACTTAACGCTAATTTAAAAACACCATGATCATTTTTTAGCAACATGGTGATGTGTATTGTGGTATATGCTTGTGTCATTCTGCTGAGACCGATTTCGCATTAGATCTAAATTTACTCAAATTACTGAGAGTGTCATTTCATGCATACTAAGTAAAGGTTCTGTTTTGTAAAGCATTAAGTTGTACTGCTCTGTGTGATGATGATCTAGTAAGCCCAAAATTGTTTTTTTGTAAAATTAATGTAAATAAGTGCTCAAATTATTCTAACTTTCTCTTCTCACTACGTGTCCATGCCCACTATTTTATGTTAAACCGACAACTTCTTGGTGCCCATCACACGAAATTAATTGCATTCGAAAGCGGCTGTATTGAACTATTTCATAAGCTCTTTCTGATTTCTTACACTGGACAGATGAACACTGGGTTCATTAATGAGTTTTCATGCTGGTTCTCTAAAAGTACAGATAGTTGTTATTGGCAAAGCGTAAAAGTGCATTGATATGCTGATAAAGAAGTTTTCCAACATTTAAGTGAAACCCTCTCACTATGAAAGTCGCAACTAAAGTGAATAACAACTTGTAACAGTTAAACAAACAAATATCCGGATTACAGACAATAGACATGTTGCATTATTGTGTAATAAAATTTCATTTTACCAATTTATCATTATAAGTATATGGATTTTCTGTGCTATTTGACCTTCCTGCTGTTAGGGACCTGATCGACTGAATAAGTAAGATTGTCAAATAATTGAACAAATCGAAATCAGTAGTTTGATGATCCATCCGTCTTAATTTATATTTCTTGTATTAAGTTTGACTCCAGCCTAGTGGTTTTAGTAGGGATGCAAATTATGAACTAAGTCTAGAACGAGAAATCAATAACACATTTATTTGAAAAATTATCTCTATAAGTCAAGTAAACTTCAAACGCCTGTTTAATTTCAGGAATACATAAATATGGGTTCTTCACCAAGACAAAAGGATGGATACAGACCACTTACCGCACATAGTTGCAATTCCTCCTAAGAAAGACAATATGTCAACTTCAAAGTCCTTTCCCGTAGATAATTTGGATGTCGGCTACCCTGGTAGCTATGCCCACACATTCTTACAGAGTGTCCAACCACTCCAAGGAACCGAAGCATCTTTGTACGTGGGCAATAAGAGGGAAGCACAGCAGAAGACAAAACTACTGCTTCCGTTACCTGATCCGCTTCTTATCACCCTCCATTATGCGCTGCCTTTTTGCATTCTTATCCAACTCACATTGTACTTGTGCATGCTTGCTACGATGGATGGCAAGGATTGTTGGCTGCGCTTTTGGGTCATGCGGAAGTCATCCGTGGAACAGGGTTGGATAAGCAGTAAACGGGTTTCGCACAGGCCCTTTGTGAGATTTGTGCCGCTCATTATTGAACATGAAAGGCTGCGTTATCATTTATGGTATGCGTGGCACCTAATGATTGCGATCTACCTGCCCATTGCTCTTATTCATTTGATTCGTGTCCCGGGTCGGGAATCTGGAAGGTAAGAAATTTTGGCAGGCACAATAATGAGCATCATCCAACAAGTTATGTAACAATTGGAGCTTTTAATTCAGCTTTTTTATAACTTTTTTCGCATCCGATTTTGGTTTTTCGGAAATGTAAATCATAGTCCATGTTAAAGTATGTCACTTTTTGAAATGACCCTACAATTTAGGCTCTAATCCAATCGAGTGGATAAATAGCAAACCAAGTGGTCTCACTATGAGGCGCATCTGGACAATGGAGTTTACATTTTTTGACCTCTTAAGCATTCATTTGCGTATCATCTGACATGTGCTCGCCAATCTCCACATACCCTTAGTTCTCGAGTGCATTTTTGTAACCTGATGACTGTAACAATGCGTTTCCCTTAATGACTCTATTTCCCTGATGTTGATTCGCACGAACCCACTCATGCGTTGTTTTTGCTTGTGGCGTTTTTTCCAGTATGGCTCAAATCAATTTGCCCGACTAAATTAAGGAATGTACCAGCAGCATCAATATTTCGAGTCTCACGCGTAGCTTCAGGCTCTAGTGATTTGGTATTCATGGAGTAGGATCGTTCGTAAAAACTATTGGCATGTAAGTTGAATTTTTGACGTTTAAAAAGTGCTCAAATTAAAGCGAATTCAGGTGTGGTAAATTATTTGCTTTCCAGTTTGTTTGTAGGGGAAGATAATGGAATTGAGTTGTGTGTTCATTGGTTGGAATGCAAAATTGTCCGAGTTGCACATTTTGATGCCTTTCGTTCGCTTAATTCCACCAATCAAAGTAGGGCCACAATCCTCCACAGTGGCTTTATTCGCATTTCTAAAGAAACTCCTTTTTATGCTAGCATTAGTAATTTTTTTGAGCTAAAATAAACTGGGCCTTGCTTGTCCCACACCAAAGTGCATGCAATTTCAGCCAATTTTCAATTTTTTTAGATTTAAGGTTTGAAAAATTCATCGACTGTTACTCTTCTATCTTGCCAGGCATTGAGCCATTTTGGCTGTTGGAGAAGCTAAAGCGTCCGTACTTTTACAGAGGAATGCCATAATCCATTTAGGTCGTTTCCGTGATACGTAATCCATGGAACCAGTTCCATGGTTGAATTGGGTTTTCAAAATACTTAAATTGATTGATTAATATTTATGGTTGCATTTAGATATGATTTTTGCACAGAAAGTCGGAAGTCTGAGCAAAAAATGACTTCAACGATTCTCGACACATCAAATGCACAACCAATTCTACCAAATACCATGATCCAAAGTTCCCGACCCCCAGGAACCCTGAAAGGAATCTTAAAGCAAAATTCCAATAAAACTGACCTGACGTCCACAAAACAAATTCGACAAAAAGAAATGCTTTTAAGTCAGTACAATTCTCCTCGGCCTCTTCAAGCGCTCACGCTTCTCGCCTTGGTACTCGCAGTTACCTCAGTTTTTCATTCATTTTATATAGCTATCCGTAAGTGATTCGCACATACAAATTAGTCAAACAGTTAATTCCACAAAAGCACAATGATTAGAAAAAGGCCATTGGGTGGTTTTCGACAATGGACTTGGGGTGATTTTAACTTAAAAAACATTTTGACGTGATTCAGCGAGACCCTGGAATGTGCAAAAAATGGAAGAAGGTTCCGAGATATAATGTAGACTTGTCAATACAACTTTTGTTTTAGTAATTTCAATCGGTAAACTTGCGTCCTTATTCAGGATCCAACTTGAGTAGTGTGTCGGGTCCCCCTAGTATTTAACTGATTTCTAAGGAGAAAAGCATTACCATCAAATAAATCCACTCAATATTTTTGCTTTTTAGGATATCTGAACTATTATGCCGTTGTAGCCACTTGGAGGGGTTTGATCACCTCGTGGGTATCAAACACTGTGCTATTTAGCTTCAGTAATTCACTTGCCACTAACCGCTCGGAAATATTGGAAACTTCTTTTACCCAAATGGAGCATCACCTAAACCAATTGGACGAAATCCAAATATCGCTTGGTTGTTGCGGTTCAAGCAATTACACAGACTGGACAATTGTGAATGAGAATGTGACTTTATGCGCTAAAAGGTAGAGTAATTTCTTTCTAGCTTGGATGGTACTTGGCTGATCACAGCGGAGTGCCCTAAAGTCTGATAACCAGAGAGACTGAATATCAGTCGAATCCACGTTGTGCAAAAAAAATTGCAATGCTTGAAACACAAAAACACTCAGTAACTCTGGACCAAATGCCAGGGTTTGATCACCAGACGGGAGTTTACGCTTGAATCTGCCATTGAGTCATTGGCTTGGGACACCTTATTCAAAAGCAACAAAGGTTCCACTTAATCTCCTTATCAGACAAATTAATGTGTTTTAGCAAGTAAAAATTGAACTTTTCACCAAAGTTTAAATGTCAATAGTCAAAAGAAAATTTTTTCGAGCACTCAAATTTTTAAAAAATGACATGAATTTGGATATTATGAGCTAATTTTTTGAAGTGGGTTATGGTTGCAAGTAAACTGGGTCCCCTATGAAGCACACAATCATTTTCAGGCCACAACTTGACGTTTAAATCTGCTGTTTAAGTCTAGACTAAAGCTCGATGTGAACTTTACGGTTTGCTCTTGTTTTAGATTTCCAAACAATTTATGCGTCTTGAATTCAACGAAAAATGTGATCCCTAATTCCTGTTGCAAGTGGGTAGGGAACACGTCATCAGGGGATCAAGTACATTCAGGCGCCTGCGATAATTTTAACGGAAATGAAGACTTAATATACAAAGAGGGATGCACCGACCGTCTGCTTTACCTAATCGTCCATAAATGGCTTACGACCCACAACTGGTTGCTTCTCACAGCGATGCTTACAATGGTACGCGATTCTTTCAAATTATTTGAGGATATATGTGTGCACCAGGCAGGGGGTGTGCATCTTAAATTTCAGCGATTTTGAAATACTGGTCTACTGGCAGATTTTGCTCTGTTCAAATCTTCGTTGTGCTTTGCATAAGGCGAGGTGACCTGATTATCGTCTGTCCATGTTTTGACCGATTTCTATGTTTTTGATAACACTTTTTATTTGATATTTTCAGCCGCTGTTATGTAGAAGCATTATCTGATTTTGTTCACCCCAAAGGTCCCACAAATTACGCTCTACTTGGGAACTTTTCAACCGCTGATACTGTACCGACAAATTTCCTCTCTAATGACAAAAACCAGAAAGCACGGGCACCAGCTGGCGATGGGCGTCAATCAATTTGGTGCCAGAATTGTAGGTTTCGTTTACTTTATTATAATCTGCATCTATTCATCATTTTACTATGGATTCATATTTTAAGTCTGCAAACTAGTGGTTTGTGGCTTTTTACACTGTTATCATAATTGACTATTCCAATGAAATGAAATGCTAAATTTTTCATGCCAAAACTAAAAAAATTCGACCTTACTGTTTTAAAAGCTTCGCCGGTGCTTCCCACAGGAGGGTTAAGACATTGTTAATTATATGCAAGCAATTAATTTAGTGCAAAATATATTATGCCTGTCTATAAATGCAAGGTAAAGTTAAATTATTAATCTGAATGAGTCGGATTACAGGTTAATTGCCTGCTAACTTGTATAAATTTATGAACGCTTGCTTCTCATTCATTAGACGTGAAATAAACATTTAAACATGATTTACTAGTTGTCATGGAAATAAGAGTTCAACATCCTTGCAAATAAATGTTGAATTTCCCCTTCTAGTACATTTAGGACAAAATTCGCTCCCTAGGCTGCCAGATTGAAATAATTTTACTATGACCAATTTTAGAGCAACGTCTCCAAGAGGATGCGAAGGACAATCAGAGACTCTTTACTACGCCAAACAGAAAATAAAGGTTGCAATACAACACATTTAATCGATCCAGACGATAGCCAGAAATTGGACAGAAAATTACATTATTATGTAGGGAAAAAATTTGCAACGACAAAGTCAAGGACATGGATGACAAAGAGACTGCGGACTAGTGGTCTTCAAAACAAGTGGAGTCTTCATTACGATTGTCTTCAAAAGAGATAACTAAATTTGAGTAGCATCTTAGATCTTTTACGGAAGCAGGAAGTACAACAAATATCCAGAGTTCAAAAATATAACAAAACCAAAAAACATTAGTTTACCATCATGCAGGTTGTACAGTAGATCCAGACTGGAGAAAATGTATATCTCAAAAGACATTCTGTCTTTTTGCATTGCCATTATTTACTGACACGACATCAACAAAGAGAAGTGTTGCCTAATAAACTCGCACCAACTGCTTCAAGTCCGTTTTAGAAATTGTTGGGTCCAACTCCGCAAAAGGGGCTCTGTTAATCAACAGCAATAACTAGAAGCTATACCTTATCTAACACACGTTTCCTGACAACATCTGCAGAGAATAAATGATGAGTTGAGACTCGAGGCGAAACGCTAAGACAACTCAACGAAATTCAACACGGCGCCACACACCACCACCAACATCTATGGAGTGGACCTAACACCGTTTACATGCAGAATAACTGAATAATGCCTTGACACAAAACCCTTCTCCACGAGATTCAACAATAACTGCATAACGCAAAGACAGAGAGAGAGAGAGAGCACAAAAACCACTCCTGACTATTCCAACTGCCTCCATGCTCAATCTACTTGGGATTCAAAATCATTGCACTATTGGGGCAAAGGTCACCTCCTGAACGAAGTCCAGAACTCATGCCAACTGCTACCAAAGATGCAATGCTTTTAATGTGACAATAACTCACAACTATGACCGGGGTGCATGTTTGTACGAGTCTTCACAGAATTACTGAAGCAGAGTTCACAGGCATCAGGCTCATTTACTCACACACACACACACACACCAAAAGCAGCGCCCACACCTTCTGGAAATGCGCTAATCCCAACAAACCACACTTCGGTTTTCAAATCAATGCCAACTTTAACCGAATGCATTTACTAAAAGACAGTCGTCAGTCGATTTATCGGGCAGAGGGTTGACCACAAACTAACGCTGCCTCCTACAGTAGTGTATGCATGTCACTGGACAACAGTTGGTGCAAGCAAGCGAAGACTTGGTTCCACACACGAATTCGCAATTCACCGGGGCTTTATCGATGCAAATGTAGCAAGGAAATGGGCTGATATTGCCTAATTCCACCATGCGAATGACTGCACAACTGTCACGCATGGGACCAACACCCACCAAAAGAAGAAAGGTGCAAGTGAAGAATAATTAGGCTATTGACCCTACAACGTGGTTTTGACCAAATCTCCATTCTACGACAAGTCGTGGTCCTTGACATACACAACAGAGCCTCGAAAGGCACCTCAACTTCACCCACAAGACTACAGATATTTTCCCATGTAACCTGCGTCTAACGTCCAAAATAGACGTGAGTTCGCTGAGAAGAGGTAGGCGAGTTCAGTTTTTTCTGGTGTTTTTCATGTTTTTTGTATTGCATGAGGCCATGCGCTTTAGTAAAATTGAATGGCCAAACACCTTTCAAGTGTGCATGCTAATGTCTCAATTACAATGTTACCGGCGACATGCTAGAAAGAGCAAGCACAGACTGCCCAGTTTTCCTCAATATTTCTACCACGAAAACAAATCACTCGTGTATTAAAACACTGTTGATACCCAATGTCACTAGTGGGAAATTTGCCGAGAAAATAAATACATCAATTTTCTTATACGCATGAACGTCACGGATTACTCAAGTGCAATTACATCGTGCTTGACACCTCAGAGGTAGGACAACCCTTGGTGTCACTTCTGAGGCTATTTAATAACAATATTTGCGACATGGGACCATTCTAAACAGCACAAAACACTTTTCAGCTTATGTTTCACAGACAAATTAGTGGTGGAAATATGTCTTAACAATCTACATCAACATTTCTGTAATTTCCTGATTTGTTGATGGAGGATGATGTTTACCCGAGGGCGTCGCATCACAGTTGAGCGCATGCGCACCAGAATGCGCAGGAATAATGTTACTTGATTCAGCTTATTTTCTCTCAGCCGTAACAGAGAATAACTGAACAGATTATAAATGACTAAAACAAAACTCGCAAAAGTGCTATTTGTATTATAGCCATGACTGCCGTATGTGCATGAAACATCTGAGTCGTCTACGAGCCAGAGGCTATAAATTATTTACTAAGTGGCCCTTATCTATTAATGCTAACAAAAACATTGATTTATTGTTGGCTGGTGATTGGTTTCCACATTGTGTTCTTCTTATGGTGACAGCAAACGAGAGTGAGGCGATGTGAACTTCAAACGCAGACGTTGATGGCATAAGGCATAAATCCCGCGTTGCCAGTCTGGTGCAATTTTAAATGTGACTTGCATCCGAAGATGGGTCTATTGAAATTGTTCACACACACTGAATGAGGTGTGACAAATTCGTCTCACAAACCCGTCCAACGACGTGTAGCGTTTCACGATAAAATCGAAATTCATTGCAAAGTATTCGTACGACTTGGATTTACAGTTGCGATAACCACCGCATTTAGTAGCATCAAATAACTCCACATTTAGTTATTGACGAAAACACCGGACCATCCGTTGAAGATGCTTACCGCTCGAAATGGTTTTCTTAAAAGTTATGAAAGAAGAGAAAACTGAGGAATGATTGCGGTAGGAGAAAATACCTCCGAGGCCATTAAAAATTAAGTGGCCAAAAGACCTCGAATCGGATCACATGAAGCAATAACCTATCCCACTAAAGCGGCAAACATCTCAGGTAAATAAAAGCTAGGTGGCACTGACGAGCTTCAGCCGCCTGAAATCTAGCAGTTGATTATGGGAGGCCGAGCACCTCAGGATAAACAGACTGCAAAATGACGCCATTAAGTGGCATGAAAAACGGAAAACTAGTGCAAAAACAACGTTCGGAGAAAATCTTAAGTGATAAGGTTTACACGGAGCCTCGGGTGGCAGGGTTAGACATCCGACCTGAGCCACACTGAAACAGAAATTGAATTCGGTGTATCAGGGTGCGTGGGTGGTTTCAATAATTGGCAACTGGTTGGCTCAACTTAAGGCGATTCGAGGTGAAAAAGCCACATGTGTAATACGAAAAATGACAGAAGTTGCGAGGGCAAAAACTATTTGAAATTAAACTTGAACTTAAGAAAAAACACCAGCTTTGCAAAAAGAGAATAAAGATAGAACAAAGGCTCACCATCTGGTTGTGCTTGGTAGGTTGCATAGGCGGGGAAGTAGGTTTCAATTTTGGATTTGCCAGACTTGACCTTTTCCGCTAAGAGATCCTGTTTGTTCAGGAATAAGATGACAGATATGTTCTTCAGCCACCTGTTGGTAAAAAAAATGGGAACGTGAAAGCATGGAGCCAAAACTCTAAAAACGGACAGTAGTGCAAACGCAGTTAGAATGTTTTCCAATCAGACATTTTGAAATTGGATTTACTGTTACCCTTCGTGATTTTCAGCAAGGGCAGCCCGCGCTTCGGAATGGTGGAAACCTCGCAAAGAAAACAGTCGGTCGGTTGAGCCTCATCAAGAGCCCTCTGACAGCTTCAAAGGTTTTTTCGTTAAGGTGCGAAAGGATGTACCCGGTGCGAAGGGATGACCTTCAATCGCCAAATGCAATTTACCATCACCTGCTTAATTTTGGAGCTATCGCATACATTAAACACCTTAGTTCGAACACCTCATCAGACATTGAAATATGCCTGTGCCGCAAAAACTGATTCGCCCAGAGCCTATCGATGTTGAACGACGATAACTCGCTCGGGCAGGGAACAGTTAGTGCCCAACTTGATTAATTACGAGAAACTCCACTAGACTAAACAGGAATACTAAAAATGATATAACCACGGTGGTCACGGCGTGCAGATAATCCATATCAGTACAAACAAGAGGGAGAGCTTTAAGATTCGCTCAAGAAGCAGGCAGTTAATATTTCAGCTGATTTTGTGGATGTTTACTGATAAAGCAGATGTGCTCAAAATGCAGAATAGGAACCGACTGAGATATGTGCATTCGAGAAAACAGTAGCTTCTGGGTTCCCTAAAGAAAACCGTGGTAGGCCACAAACGCATTAACAAAGCAATGAAACAACATGGGAACTGTCAATAATGTAACACCAAATACGCGACATTACACGAGTCTCTTAAAGACAAAATTATTTAAAACTGGGATCAGAGCAGGATCTTTCCAAACTAGCTATACATAACGACTAGAAGATTCCAACTAAATTTTCAAGTGAAAGATTAAAGGTCCTAGTACCCAGGCAAAACTGATGGCAAACATCAACGAGGGCCTCAAATGTGAGTACGTAATTGATTACATCAGTTGAGTACGGTAAAAGAATCGATCATAAAAACGACCGCACAGTTGACAAAGCAACGAATGAAAAAGATAAAACATTAAGTTGTAGAAGTAGATAGGATAATGGGTGGCCGACATACATAAATATCTTAACGCCTGAACTATCAAAGAAACGTGTCCGATTACTAAACGACCCAGTGATTCGGTGGGCGAATTACATGATCGCCTAAGCAAAAAGACACTAATTTGTGTGTGAACAGGAAGTGTGGGAGAGTGGCAAGGAACGCACCCAATTAGAAGTGAAGAGGCGCACAAATGAAATGAAAAATGAAAAACCACAACCACCTTCAAGCTGCACATGTGTCCACAACTGGTAACTGACGCACACCCCACCCAGAGGATTCTCCACCACAAATTAGACCTTCTGGGCATGTAAAGGAGAGCCAAACTTGGTACGTTGGTGAGCTGTGACGGTATAACTAAAAATCCCGCTTACGTCGTCAGTTTTAACCAAGGATCTCCCGTTTTCAACAAGAACCACAAATTTGATTAAAAGTCATACATTGAATAAAACTACACCACGGAGACAAGGGCCACGAGTGAGAAATGGCAGGAGTGCTTTAAGTCAACAAGTGAATTTAAGAATGGCCTGAGAAATGGGACTGAAAACTTGAAGATGCAGCAGCTTAAACTCTTACTGGACTGCAGTCATAACCTCCTAAAGCAAGAGCCCAGGTTGAGAAGCCGACAATATAGCATCATTAAGAGCAGTCGTTTAGATGGCTTGACTAACTAGTCTTGCAAGCCCAAGTTCGGGTTACAAACCTATTAAAATATAACTTCGATAGAATGATCTCCCCAATACGGCATGAATTGAAGGAAGCAAGCAAGAATACGCCAAAACGAAATGAAAATTACTCAGTCGTCATTGAGAGCTCGAATTAATAACCAAAGTCTATTTCATAATACTTTGATTACCGTATCAACTGGAATCCCTGGGAATAGAAACACATGGAAAATTAGTAGGTTTTTCAAAGCAGTTTAAAATTCTGTGATGAAGCCGCTTTCAACTATATAGACACCACTTCAGCCACGTTAAAATTAGGAACATTTACAGAGGAAGGAGAAAAGGATCGATAACAAAAGCATAAGGTGGTAGCACGCGTCATAGCAGACTGCAGAGTAACAATCGTGAATAAATTTGCTTAAAGAAATCACCAAGTCTACATATATTGCGTTTTAGGTTAATGATAAAACTTAAACGATGTCTAGACGCGTGTTAAGATGCACCTAAAACTGTACCCCAGAATAAATGGACTGATAAATTACGAGGTGCTAGGAAAACACCCTTTAGATTAAATGCGAATTCAAGAAAGACAGAGACGAGTCTTGGTGCTGGAAAAACAACGACAAAAGCCACAGGACCAAATGCCATGTTGACAGGATACAATTGATAGTAGCGATTAGAATGAGGTAAGTATAGCGGACCTAAGAAGCAATGTGTACCACTGAATGCATATACATAAATAATTTTTTTGACATGGTTATTGTGCTGTCTCAATGCTTTTTGCACACACTATATCCATAACGAATTGATAATAGTTGAAGAGGAATACACGCCTACTACATAGAAAAAAATATTGTTCCATAGGTCAATTTGCAAAAAAACAAGGCATAAGTGCAAACATATTCAAGGAAAATTTTCCACTTTTGCATCAGTGAAATTTCGACTCGCCTATACCTAACTTGAGAATACCTGAAATATTTAAAAATGCGTCTTTTGAAATTTGGATATAAAACAGTTTATGTCGTTGACTGGGTATACAAATCATCGCCTCCTACGATATTTGAGATCACAACGAAAACATAAAAGCATTTGGAAAATTTGAGACTTTCATGAAGAAAACATTCAGGGTCCAAACAAAAGCAACTTTGGACTGAATATCAAGTCAAAAATTATTTAATAAATCTTTCAACATCTGAAGGATAGTAAAAAGGATACGTACTAATATAGTGAGACAAAATAGGTAAATCAGGAAAAAAAAACAAAAATCACGGCAATTAGCTGAATAATGATATAGGCTGGTGAAAAATATTAAGAGGTCTCAATGGCCGAAAGTGGTGTGAACAAAGCCATAACAATTGGGCAAAATTTATGATCAAATGTGGAGGGAATAAATTCACATGACCACGGAAACAAAGAATGACAGAGAATAAGAATTGTGCTGTGGTCATTGCATACATTTTGTATCGGTAAGTTGATATGCAGTCGACTGACGGAATCTCAAGCCAATAATGAGAATCCAGCAAAACCAAACCTCGTCGAATTAATTTCAGAAGCAAGCACAAAATTAGGTGACTATTTACAGGGATCTTACCTCACAGATTGGCTCGACATTTATTTAGTCATAGTGTGCGAAATGGGGATTACACAGCGAGGTTCCGAAAAATTTCGAAACGTGAGTTTTTCTAACCTAATAACTTGGACTCTAAGTCATGGCGTAAGAATACAATCTGAGATTGTCAGAGCACAATCAAAGGAGGAATAAAACAAAACGCACCGATTATTCCAGATAGAGCCGAGTAGTTCGAGGGATTCTCTAACCCGATTTTTATTGGGGTCTTCGCGAAGGACCATGTTGTATGAGGAGCAAGCGGCAACGAAAATAATGGCAGTAACATCATTGAAACACTGAATCCACTTTCGCCTTTCTTCTCGCTGGCCACCGACGTCAAACATGTGAAACTGAACTTTATCCACAGTAAACTTGGTTTCAAATATGCCCGAAGTTAACACTCGGCACCGCAGAATATCCTGTTCGGTGGGGATATAATCGGGTTTACCTAGTTCCATCGAACGATCAAGAAAACTGGCAAGTTATATAAAACTATTTGCATACTATTTGGCGCAATCAATTAATTGGTATTCGTTAGACCTTTCGAAAGCCTCCAGAACACCGCCATCACCCCAAAGTTGACGACAATGAGAAAAGAAAATCTAGTAATAAGCTGCGTGAGAAGGAACAGATAGTATACTGGAGGAAAGTCAAATTCAGCCTTCGAAGCTTCTTCTAGCATATAATTTCTAATGACGGCATTTTCGGGGTTCTTCAGTTTCACAGGTGGTTTAAGGTTCGGCATTGCACCAACAATAGACTTAGCGAATAAATTGAACAAAAGCTCCTTACGCATATAGCATCTCGTAAGTTTTTTCTGATGTCAAGTACCTTTTCTTTTTTCTCTCTAACAAGCAGAATGACTAAAAGAGACCACGTACGCATCCGAAAAACCATCGATATGCAGAATTCTCATTTGTTTCACGATTGTAGATTTTCCACTCTCCCCAGCCCCTAAACCTGGTTATTGAAGCAAGCAAACCATACCAAGCAAAAGAAGACGATGTGTCGACCGAAAATTTCGCTTTTCTTTTTCTATTAACTTGTCTATTTGTTTATTGGCCTCGTTTCTGACCTTGTCAGACTCAGAAATACGGGCAAATGTGCAACAAGGAAGGGCCATCACGCATACCAATAACTTTCAGTACAACGAATTAACAGTTAATTTACACGTCAGACCAAACGCAATCAAAGAGACGTGCAATTCATAATTTAAGGAGTATTGGTGCTGGGGCCAGAAGCGCCATTAGGAAATTCGCACAAACGCACAACATATAAGAGATACAAACAAATTTTATGAGTTCGATGGAAATTTAGACTCTTTTAGCATCTTACTACTAAAAAAAAATTAAAAAAGCGTCTTTCAAAAATTTAACTTAACCAGAATGAGCATAAAATGTGCTGCGTAAGGTTGAATTCCAAATGCCTAAATGTGGTTCAACCCATCAGTTTAAGCACGTTTCGATCTTAAAATGGCAAAATATTAAAACCAACCTAATTAAACAGCAAGGTAGATAAAAGAAACTCTAATTGTTACGTAGGATATTGTAATTAAAGCAGGTCTTAATGCTAAGACTTAAAAAGGTCATCAAATCTCACGGATTCCAAATGAATTTAAATTGACTATGTTAATCAACCAAGACTTTTCATTTATCAAACACATATCAATGCCAACAGCATTTCTTTACATTCGGTTTGTCATTAGTATTACAAATTTATTGCAGTACTGATAACAAATAAGGAATAGCAGTAACAAATTTGTCAAAATTAAATGTGCAATAACGACTTTAAAAATTAAGAAATTTCATTGCACTGTTGTTGAAGACCTCATCTATAAGGCCAAAAGAGCAAACGTTAAACGCTTCAACAACAAATCATGAAATTACAAAAATATTGATGTAGATTTTCAAGACATATTTCCACCACTAATTTGTCTGTGAAACATAAGCTGAAAAGTGTTTTGTGCTGTTTAGAATGGTCCCATGTCG